TTTCATTAAAATGTCAGAGATTTGTATTAAAAGTAGATTTTTCTTTAGAATTTTTTTTTTATTTTTGTAATGTCATTTGAGCTTAAAAATTGTAAAATGTGTTTCAATGCGGTATCTGCAATTTTAAAAGCATAAATTACATTGCAAAGTCTATAAACTTGCTTGGTTCAATCGTCACTATCGGTACTATCGTAATCAACAGTCAAATTGGGTTAATTAGTTCTTAACTGTTGTTCTAAAATTCTAGATCACGTTTGTAGTTCGTACATATTCATCATGCTCGAAATGTATTGCGAAATGCGATACGAAACGATTTAGTAGTCGTGGAGAGAAAATTAATGCTGGCTTCCTTTTCGAATGCGTTCACCTCGCTCGACGGAATAACGAGATGATCAAATAAGGACAGCTATGCCAAAAGAATACTAAACTGAGTACTAAACATTCTTCTATGTTTTATTTCAGAATTATCAAGTGTAAATCATGAAATGCCATGTGACAAAATCGTGAATAATGAAAATATTCCTTGAAATATGTTTCGTATGATAAATGGAAATATAAAACACAGATATAATCATCAGAATGAATTGAATTAAGAAGATAATTAAGATTGATAAAATTATTTGATGCAAAAATATATATTATAAAATTGTTGTTGGAACGATGGAATATTGATTGATTTTATCATTAAAAAGTCATTATATCGTCATTTATTAAAGAAATTATAGGTAGCTCTTCGTAATAATTAGTTATAATGATTGATTTTTGTTTTACGATTGGTTCTTGACCGCTTTAGGATTTGGATTAAATTCAGAGGTCGTAAGCGACACGCAAGGAATCCTCGGGGCGTCATGCAAAATTCATGAGAGGATTTAATCGAACGAGTCGAGTATAGAGTCGATGTATTCGCTCGAGGCAGGAGTGAAATATCATATCGGTTGCACTGCAGTCGATAAGTGATACACGGCGATTATATTTTATTATCTTAATCGAACTTGCAGCTTTGCCCTTTGATTCAACGTTGCTACGTTGTCGCGTTTACACATGTATTATTCAAATTACGATCATACCGAGTTGATTCATCGTCATTATCAGTCTGTTTCGTACGTTGTCCTTGAAAAGTCGTTGAACACGTCGACTCGGGATGGACGTTTATGACCGTCGTATCGTTATGTTTGTAGATATCTCGAACTTTCACTCGTTCGTTTATAATCAAGTTAATCAGGCGGTTCTTCGAAGCTCTTTGAAATTTCCATTTTCTTATATATCGAAAAATAATCGATGTGTTGTAAATATTACGTAAACACGGATTTATTTTGGACGAGCGAAACACGAAGTCGGCATTATATTTGCGCGCTTAGTGAAACGAGACTTTTGCTATCGCCACTTGGAATACAAACCAGTTGACCTTAGGTCGTGATTTCTTAACACTTTCTCGCAAGAATAATATTATGCTTCTTACATGCTAACGGAGTCTTGTTTTCTCAATTACACGCGTAATAATGTAGAGGCTTCTATAAATCATTGATATAATTGTTAATTATCAATTTTCTCAAGCGAAGTCAGCTTATTCCATCCGATGACTTTTACAAACTAATTAGTTTTAGAAATTGAAAAACTTGAAGACAATCTTTACAATCCTTCTCCTTCAAATTATCGAATTTTTAATTATTTTTAAAGACGGCGGTATATGTGTATGACTCTTTTTTTCTGGCAATTGTTCGTCCACGAAAAGATGGTCGAATTTCTCACACGTTGCCCTCTACATGCGATCCCGTCCTTGAACAAACGGACAATGGAAGACGTGACGTAAAAAGGCGAATATTGATAACGACGACAAAATGTTTACTCGGTTGACTATCTGACATTTAAATCTTTATTCTAACAATGTCAAGCGACGTATTTTGGAATTTTTAGTATTGTGTTGACTTTTTTTGTTGACTATTTTACTTTTCTCTTCATGTCGACAATGGTCTGCGACATTATATATGATTTTGGAATTTGCAGCATTGTAATGACACGTTATGCGTTCCAAGAATGCATGCATGCGCGCCTCTTCGGGTGTAGAGATCTCCTGGAAGTGCCTCGTCTCGTTTCTCTCTGCTTCGCCAGCTACTCTCGCTGCTGAGTTGCATTATGTCGCGCGTATTATGCACGTTGTCGTGCAATCTCTTCCGAAGAACGAGCATGCATGCATGCTTAAATGCGTCAACGGGATCTGCCTTTTTTCCTAATAATGCATGTTATGCAGGATGTTTCTCGTAAGACTTACATTCAAGAACGTGTCTTCGCTTAATATATATGAGCATATTTTTCATATTAATTTAATGTTAAATAGTTTACTTCATTCATTTACTTTAATGTTATCTCGCGTTAAATTGCAAACGTTTAAAATTAAAAAATTTTTTTAAATTTTTTAAATAACTGAACAATTTAAAATCTTATTGTTGGACTCACAAATTTTGAATATTAAATAAGTGATGTAATCACAGAATAAAACAAAAATCGGCTATTAATTTGTCAAACAATACAAACAGAATTGACAAAATTTGGCAAACTTTATGAAAGTTAATTTATGTCGCATTACATACGTCACATATCTGTATGTCTATTTTCATGCACGTGACGATAAGAATTATCTTCGAAAATTGTAGTTTTTAAGTTTTATTACGTGAGCTATTAAAAGTATTAACTTTATCTGACGAAATCGGACATTTGCCATTCGCTGAACATGCAACCGAATAACAAGACAGTGTGACTCAATTACCCAGCTTTAAAGTTGATGATCTAGGCTGCTTGCAACATTCGTGACCTCGGAAAAATGTCACAGCGCTAGATAACGAAGTTGACGAGCGAGCGAAGAGTAATAACGCGATCGCGCGTAATTGCGTTTCGGCGCCAGGATGTAAAACATGATGTAGTCAGCACAAGGCGAGTAGATAACTCCGTACGTTTACACAACTGCAATGATTTGCGCTTTTAAGCGCATTTTAGTAACTGACGTCGCAAATATCGAATGCAAACAGAGAGTGCCTTCTGAAAACCTAGGTTTGCAGGTAGAAGAAAACCGGCGAACGAAAAACATTTTTTAATTTCATTTAAAAGCACTTTTAGGATTTTGAAATTTCTGGATTCTTTAAAATTCTATGAGCATATTTTCACTTCATCTTCGTCAGCTTCTTTTTCGGTTGTAGTATACAGTTTGTAGTATTTGTCAAACTTGTTGAATAGAATTTTTCCCTTAAAAGGAAATACATAAATTGACAGAAGAACAACCTTTTTTTTTTAGAAAACTACCTGAGTCGGAAATCTTTTCTAGAACAGTGTCAGAATACACCGCACTTGCTCGCGAAGATAAAAGAAGTAGGAGAAAGAGAAACGAAAGAAAGAGAGAGAGAGAAAGATAGAGAGAAAAAAAAGATATGTACGGACGTATTTATCGCGCGCTCGAATCCCGCGCGTGCATTGTAAGGTCCGCCGACCGAGCGTGCAGATAAACATGCGCGTTGCGCACGTAACAGTATAAATAACTTGCGCAAGCGTTAATGAATGCTTATCTTACCCCGCGCCCCTTAAAAAGTGGCGAGATAGATATACCAGCCAGACGCTGCGTTTTATTATCTCCGTCGTTGTGCACGCGCGCACTTGCGTTGCGTTTGTACGAAACGAGCGAATTTCCTTGCGCAGAGTGCAAGAAATAAGAGTGATGCGTAGCAGGGCAAATCCTCGAAGACTGTACGCAAGTAGCGTAGATAAACGTTGAGTGAAATAATGGTACATCGCGGGAAAATAGATGTTTCACATGTTTTTATCTTGATGATGTAGAATCATATGTTCCTTTTTTTTCTATGAAGTAATAAAATACGACTGTATAATTATTTAATGAATTTTATGAATTATTTTCATAAATTCTCCTCTCTGTGTTCCTTGGGAGTAGAAAAATGTTTACGCATCAAGGGTAGAGTTGAGAATCTCTCACAAATCGTAAGGGGAATGCGTATATATAACGGAAAAACAATGAATTTTGACTAAATCGAATAACAAGAACAGCTGACGGGAGTTTATTGCCCCCGGCGAAAGGGCGAGAGCGATTCCCGTATTTCTTCTTCCGCTTGCGTTACGCTATTTGCGATTTCCGCCGGCGTTGCGAACAGGGGCCGTAGGGGCGGAGATAAATCGATAAGACATGTGAATGCGAAGCGGCATGAGAATGGCCGAGTTCCTTTACGGTCGTATAAATTGCACGCGCATAAATTACGTCTGTCGTTTAAGTGTTATTGCGGAACGAAGTGTATAAAGACGCTCAAGCCTCGTGGCGGGGCAAGGTCGCGTTATTTTTTCACTTCGCTGTTTCGAACATCTATCTCGATATTTAGAATAAGATTTTGAGATTCTTTCGGATCTCTTCCTATTGAAAAAATAGATGAAGATTTGATTAATTAAGTTATTGTGTAATAAAATGATAATATATGTTTATCAATTGATCAGAAAGTTTTCTTCGAATTTTTAAGAATGAAAGGCGAAAATTCTAAAGAACTTTCTGATTAACCAAACATTTTATACGCATTTTTATATAAATTTATAATTAAGCATTATAAGAGAA